GCTCGCCAGACAGACAGAGAGAGACAGAGAGACAGAAAGCGAGAAATCATCCCCCAGGGGGGATGGCCATGCCACAATCTCTTCTCCTCCATTCTCCTCTCGGGATCTTGGGCACACACGCACACATTACCTGGCGTGAGTTTAAGCCACCGGATCTGGACTCGAACCACAGTCGCTACGTGAGAGTTCAGCGACATAGCCATTACACTAACTGCTGGTCCCCATCTTGCTTTTCTTTAGCAATGCATTATGATCCCATCACAGAGCTGGTTCACAATAGCTATATATTACATTTGAAGGAATTTAAAAGAAATGTGGAAAAAGATAAGAGTTAAAGCATGAGTTTATTTTGGTGTAAAAGTTTCTGAATTCTGTGCATAGTTTCTTTTTTCACTGTAGGGCGCGTGCGCTCGCCAGACAGACAGAGAGAGACATAGAGACAGAAAGCGAGAAATCACCCCCCAGGGGGGATGGTCACACCGCAATCCCTTCTCCTCCATTCTCCTCTTGGGATCTTGGGCACGCACGCACACGCACCCGGCGTGAGTTTTAAGCCACCGGGTCCGGGACATGAACCGCGGTCGACTACGTGGGGGTCCAGCGACATAGCCATTACGCTAACTGCTGGTTCCCCATAGTTTTTCATAATATACATTCTTCATGAACTTTTTGAAGACCCCCCCTCATATAAAATCGTTTTTGCTTTTTCAAACTGAAGAATGTACATTGACATGAAACCTTCTGGGGTTCTGCAGAACAGTTGCCAAGCCCCTGCCAGAGCCATTTTGTTGCAGTTTGCAATCCAGGAAAACGTGTGTGTTTTGCTGACAGCAGTAGGAGCTCTATGTGGGAGACATGGTATCTTTTAATCATTTTGGAACTCTCCTAAACAGAATGTTTTTTCTTCTGTTCAGATGGATTAATATGAAAGCCATTTTGAGATGGGGACATCAATGCATCTACATTCTTTTGGAAAACATTAGTTTTTGAAAGCCATTTTGTAGTTTACAAAGTATTTTCATATGCCTTATCTCATTTGATGCTGACAAGATAACCCTTGAATTTTTTTTTCTTTATATGGATGTAAAAACTGAGGCTTAAAGAATAAAAGGACTTTACCCCAAATTCCCCTATGCAAATCTCTGTCTCTTTTTTTTTTTTTTTGGAGAGATTTTCACTGTAGGGCGCGTGCGCTCGCCAGACAGACAGAGAGAGACATAGAGACAGAAAGCGAGAAATCACCCCCCAGGGAGGATGGTCACGCTGCAATCCCTTCTCCTCCATTCTCCTCTCGGGATCTTGGGCACGCACGCACACGCGCCCGGTGTGAGTTTTAAGCCACTGGGTCTGGGACACGAACCGCGGTCGACTACGTGGGAGTCCAGCGACATAGCCATTACGCTAACTGCTGGTTCCCTCAAATCTCTGTCTTTTGAGGTGAAAGATTAGTCATGTTTTCATCAGATGTGATATGGTACAGTGAGTAGATAAAAAAGCTGATTCAGATGGCCTAGGATCAGAAACATGCCTTGAACATTTACCTTGTCTGTCTGTGAGCAGGACATATTTAAAACTCAGTTTCCATATCTGGGTATTGGGCTCAGTAATACCTACTTCTTAGCAATGCTTCAAAGATGACATTGGATAACACTATAACACCAATTGCAGTGTCTGCCTCAAATTAGGTGGCGGGGCCATGCAGCCAACACAGGCTGAACATAAAGGAGCTGTCTCTCATGCCTAAGCAAGGACTGGGCTGAGGTGAACTGCAAGCAAAGCTGACAGTTACGGGCTCCAGTTTTCAACTGTGCTTGTTGCACTGGTTTGTGCCCAATTTCTCTGCCATGAGCTTTATTGATGGTACCCCATAAGGGCAAAATAACACTCCAGCCTTACTGTAACTTTTACAATAATCCTGAAGGAATGCGGATCCCTAAGGCAGCAGCGAACGGGAATTACTCCCATGAGACTCACCCCACCCACCTGGAAAATGTCAATAAAGAATTCTGCATTTACTTCTCCTACTGGGGATTACATAGATAGCATTAGAAAGGTTTGGGTTAATGGAAAGCTACTAAACTGATAAAATGATCACCATATTTATAACTCAGTTTCCTTATCTGGGTATTGGGCTCAGTAATACCTACTTCTTTTTTTTTTTTTTTTTTT